TTCCCCATTACATCTGTCTGTGTCACGCTTGACACACATCAAGCCACGCTTCTCCCTCACGTGACCGATTACAGTACTTTAAAACAAAACGCAGGAGCTCGCAAAATGAGTTAAAAAAAACTGCTGGAGATCGCAAATCACGGCGGTCTTAAAAGTACGTTCGAGACAACTGATTAAAGTTATGGCTGAATACTCTGAGATCGCCACAATAGCACTGTTGCTATTTCCGACATCCTACCTGTGTGAGGCGGGGGGTTTCTGCAGCAACGGCGACGAAAACAAAATTACGAAGTAGACTGGACATAAACCACACACTTGAGGTGTCATTGTCTCCTATTACCCCGAAATGGGACCGTCTGGTTGCAGAAAATCAAGCTCGGTGCTGTGGTGAGTCGTCATTTTCATGCACTTTGAATTTGCGTTGTATCGTATTTTGAAGACATTAAACATTGCCAGAGGCGATCGGAGTGTTGCGGCCAGATTAGACGCTCCTTGTGTTTATTATTATATTTCGAAAACGCCACCATTTTCATGCAGCTCATACAATATTATTTTGTTGTATTATTTCCGCCACACCTTAAATGCCGGTCCGTGAAAATATTGTCTGACATAAACCGGTCCGTGGGGCAAAAAAGGTTGGGGGCCCCTGGTATAGAGGTCTCGGTCCTTTGAGCAATTACCCACAATGCACTATCGGCGGCCATATTGGAAGGCTGTTATAAACAAGCCATACACGAATAGACTTCGTGTATTGCCAAGCCATACACGAATAGACTTCGTGTATGGCTTGTTTATAACAGCCCTCCAATATGGCCGCCGGTAGTGCATTGTGGGTAATTGCTAAAAGGACGGAGCCCTCTATACTAATCTTACATGACTGACATGCCTGGTAATGTCAGTAACAACGTAACATATTAAGAGTTATTCAGATAACTCTAGCAGAAAGAACATGCTAACAAGTTTACCAAACTATCAGTTTCACTCCAAATCACTAAATCCAATGAAATCTTCATCCTCGGTGTCACTTTTAACAACTCCCCCAACTCTGGAGGTAGACGATGCGCCGCTTCCTCCTCTACGTCACCTTCGTCAGACTCATCGTCGATTTATCAACACAGGCCGAGAGCGACCTCTTGTGGTTTAATGTGAAAATAACATGTGAAATGACATAATCATGTGTTAATAATTTCACACATAATTCGCTCCAACGTATAAATCGCACTCCCAGCCAAACTATGAAAAAAAAAATGCGATTTATAGTCCGGAAAATACGGTACTTCCCGCCTCCAAAGCCATTGTAAATGAGATGTTCGGACCCAAAGCGGCTTTCGAAATAGCTTGACTGCTGTAAAAGCTAAAAACCGAGAAAGACTGAGAGCTGTGGAGGAAGAGCTTCGTGTGTCTTTCATGGATTGCTGCCAGGATATCAGATCTGTGTTCATCCAAACCATTTATCACACTGAGTGAGAATAAATATGAAAGATTATAAAATATTTGATTGATGTTTATTTGATTCCTATTCAAGATGTTATAATATAATGTCATTCATCAATGTTAAAGGCCAAGTGTGAAGTAAAGTTGGCCAACCATGTTTTGGAGTAATATCAATGGCTGAACAATTATAAGCATATTTCCGTTATTTTTTTTAACGCAAGCCGTCCAGATTCTTTGTTTAACCCTTAGCAACGCCCTTGACAACAAAAATGCTTTTCTTTGGCAATCTTCGGAAATGACGTCACATGGAGAACTGCGAGGGAAGTCCTCCATTGAACAGCATTGTTGCATTGCTTGGTGGTAAGATGCCACGGCGGTGTGTGGCGATGTATTGTTCGCAATCGACAGAAAAGTTGTACCAGTGGCCGAAGGATAGCAGGGCACGTAAATAGACATCTTTTATTCGCACGAAGCAAATGAATTTCATGCCATCATCGACGAGTGTTCTCTGCTATCTCCACTTCAAAGATGCCTGCTTTCTCAACCGGTCTGCTTATGATCGAGGATTTGCAAAAAAGTAAGTGTGATTTTTTTGGATAGATGATGATGATTTCGTCAAAGCATAGCTGCCAACTCATGTGGAATGAACAGTAGAAGGTAGCGACGTTAGCCGAAAGCTAACTCGAGAAGCTAGCAACGTTGAACAGGAGAAGCTAGCGACGTTAGTTTTCGGCTCCAGGCAAACCCCGATCGATGCTATTCATATCAGCGATGAGTAATAATGGCAGTCAGACAAATTGTTCTGGAAGTACATTTCAATAGATTGGCAGCGCTGCTTTGTTGATGAATGAACATGACGCATCCTCTTGGAAAACTGCCAATCATTTGTCACGCCTACTGCATTTTATGATTTATTTAATAATTAAATATTTGGTAAGACAGGGGTTAGAAAAGATGTGATAGTATTTTTTTTAGGTTTTATAGGTTTCATGAGCAAAATATATTTCTCTTGTCTCCTCATATTTATTCTGCAGGTTATTACTCAATGCAACTGCTGCCCCAACAATTCACCTGCCTCCACAAGACCAGCAAGTTCAATATCCACCTGTCCAGCGTGCAGCAGCAGCTAAGCGAGACAGGAAGCGAACCGTAGCTGAGGCTATCAGCTCTGAGACGGTTGAGTGTGGAAGTCAGTTATTGCTGGATGAATCCAGTTCAAACAGCCATCAAGATGATGAAGTTATACCACCACATAGTGTGGATAAAAGTAAGTGATGATGATGATGAGGATGGCCATTAGTGATAAACATATACATACATTGATTATAAACATATTTATCTTTTCAATTTGTTCAGTGGTGCAGACATTGAAGTATTGTCCTCCATGCGAGAAATGTAAGAATAGGGCAAATTACCGGTCCATTGGCATACAATGCAACTTGGGCCAACCAGAACCCAAAAGCAAAAAGGTCTGTATGCCACTGGTTGACACAGACAGTGAAGAGGAGAGTGACGTGGAAAAGGACAGTCGACACGTCCCGGACCAAGATGTGGAGTATATTGCAGGGGAGGACAGCGATGAAGATGAACCAAGTTCATCAGATGATGAAGTGACACATGTCAGCTTCGAAGAAATCCAGTAAGATTTTCATAACTATTTTCATTGTAAATGCGATTAACACAAATCAACTTTTACAACCACAAAACTGAAATTGGCTAAATTGACAAGAGCATATGTCATTTTAATTGCATTTTCAAGATCAAATTACTCACATTTGTCTCATAATGGAAATTGTGTATTCTTGAAATATATTTGCAGGAGCAATGAAAGTGAAGACCTTCACAAGCAGCGGAAGTACTTGGTGTTCGAGTCCTCCCTGATCGCCCTCTTGGCCGTTTGTGTCCTTTGCAAAGGCAGAAGCGCCTGCTTCCGCTATGTCAAAGGGACACTGGTGAATAAATAAAATTGCATTCCCTGTATTCAGTTGTCCTCATTTGTTTATTTTTATTACAGTATTTTGTTATGGTAGACACCATGTCCACATTAACCACTCTAAAACCAGTCCAAATCACAGTTCTGGAACATTTCTCTGTGAAACACGAAACCCTTTGAATACAGCTGACTCCTCTTCTGGTGGTGGAAAATGTGCCCTGATACAAGACACGGCACATGCTGGGAGCACAACACGGTTGTCCTGACCAAGAAACTTCCAGCACCAGCGCACCAATTGTCGGTAGGCAAATGCCTATACTTGGCATCCTGTGGCCCATCAAATGCCTTGCCTTTGTACTGCTGCTTGTAGGTCATCCATGCCACCTGTAATCCATATGGGTCTAGGCACACAGCATTGAGTCCAGGATGGTCGGTGATGCAGTACAGCACCTGATTGAAGTGTTCCTCTCCTTGTCGACGTACAGTCACTACTTCTTGAATTTCATGGCAGCAAACACATTCAACTGCTGTAGGCATTTGCTGGCATTTACCACAAGTACACCTGAAAAAAAAAAAAAAAACAAGTAAAATACTGAGCGATGACACCATGAGCATAAATTTTCTTGAACAAGCGTATTGCTATACCCATCAATCAATAATTCTGTTGTTTATGAAAACATTTGATTCAAAATATACAAGTATATGGATGGAATACTGTACAAAAGTTTAAAAAAGTCTTTAAAAAAATTCTCAAGTACAAGTCAAAAAATTATTTTCGAAAAGAATACTCAAGTACCGAGTAGGCTAACTGAACATGAAGTCTGATTATTTTTTCTAAACAATGTCATCAGATAGACAAAAAACATAAAATTATGTGCACATGCCTGCATCTTCAAATCATAAAAATAATACCAGCCTATATCTTACCAATATTGTCGATGGGTCTTGTCTCCATTCCATGTCAGGTTGTCTGGGCACATTGTTTGCATCCTGATTAGCGTCTGGCTCATACATGAAAGGTCCAACATGTAAAATTCCTCCTCTTCTTCCTCCAACTCTTTAAAAACTTGGATATCCTCACTTGCGCTCGATCTATCGCTTGTATCGCTGTTTGAATCATTGTTTGAAATGCTTTGCATCTCGGCCGTATGGAGCTCTGCCATTGCTGTTCTCCATGTGACGTATCACTTCCGGGTTACTCCCCTTTCAGGCTCGAACTTCGGAAAAGCGTTTACTGTATTTTGTCAAATATACAACATATAAATTATTTTTTTCATGCTTTATTTGGTGGACAATGTTTAAGTACTTTCATTGTGACCCTATTTGGCATTTCATGAAATTACTTCACACTTGGCCTTTAAAAAACGCTTATAATAACAATGTAAGACTTTAATTGTTAAAATAAGTTGGGTTTTTTATCACTCTTTAAGCAAGTGGTGTGCCACGGGATTTTTTTCAATGAAAGACATGTGCCTTGGCTCGAAAAAGATTGGAAAACACTGCTGTAGGGCAGCGGTCCAGTGCCCAATCTTTTTTTGTACCATGGACCTCAAGGACTTATTATGCCCACCACCTTTTCTAGCCACTGCCCTGAGGCAAGCGCAACCGATCCATGCGCACCAAAACCAGCAGATATTCAAACAGCTTCTTCCCTCTTGCAATTACCTACCCAAACAGTAACTCAAATCTCTAGTGGCTCTTTGCATGGTTGCACACCCCTGTAGAACAGTAGTACCTCAATGATCATTGTAGCTCCAACTCTCTACATACTTGAACGGTTGTCGTGGATCAATATTCCACAGCACCAGACACTTAAAAACGCTCAAGGACTTTCTGTACAATTGCACACTTGAAGTTGTTCTAAAAATACTGTTACTGGTCACTTTAAAAATGGTGCAATGATTATCTGCACCAACGGCACAACCGTCATAGTTTGTATTGCACCACTGATCACTTTATTTCCATTTGATACTTTGCATATTCTCACCGCTGCCACTGGGTGGTACTATCGCACAACGGTAACCTTAAATTACGGAATGTCTTTCCATACTTATTTTTCGTGTCCTTGTTTATCATAGTTGCTTAGTACTAGTGTAGCCTGTCCTACCGGAGACAAATTCCTTCTGTGTTTCTACATACAATAAAGATGATTCTGATTCTATCAAAACAGAGAGAGTTCACATTTTCACAACAAAAGATGGACATCAAGCTGAAAATTGGAAGTGTTTCAACATAAGAAGATGCCAACTCGTGCCCTGCATGCCAGAGAAGCATCCCTGAAAAAAATTTGCAGTCATCTTTTGGGCAGTTGTCCCCCATCCAGAAGTTGGGGATATGATCCCCAATATGTTTAAGTGTACTTGAGTAAGATATTGAACCCAGTTGCTCCTGATCCTCTCATTAGCAGGGGAGTAAGGAAACAGTGTTAAAGCGCTTCGAGTATCTAATGTAGAAAAGTGATATACAAATGAAAGCCTGTTCATCATTTTCCTTTTCAGCAGTGCACCATTCATTTCCAACCAAATTTGACCCTAGAACAGTGTAGTCCAAACTTTTTCCTTCGAGGATCGCATACAGAAAAATGGAAGACTCCATGGTACACGTTGACATTGTCCGAACTTATTAAACACACGAAAACCAAACCAATGAAGCAATTATGCATAACAGATGTTTGAGCTATATTTTTTCCACGTGTTAAGGTGATGCATCAAACAGTTTTTTTTTTTGGGGGTGGCCCACAGACATGTAACCCATTAGAATAGATTTGCCCCTGCTCCCCTGCCGTGAGCAGATCTCCACATTCACAACCAAAGCGAGGATGAAAATGTAGTAAGATGACAATTTTCAAAGCGGTTAACTTGAGGACTCGTCTTCAGGACGAGTAAAAAAAAAACAAACAAACAAATAAACAAAAAAAAAAAGCGTCTTCCCTTAAATTATATGATCCATTTAGTTTCGGTCACTCAAAAATGTTTATTTGCCCCTTCCACTCACAAAGCACAAAAATCCTCTTGTAAAGATGTATCAGAACATACATGATTGCATCCACAAAGGATGGGCGGAATGATACTAAATGTATCGATATTTCCAAAGTGAGTGCTTAAATTTAAGTATTGTGGCAGTCAAAAGGAGCACACACGATTGACTGTATATATGTCTTTATTCCACGACTGCCAACAAGTGGATCTAAACAATTACAAATTTGCGCCAAAGATATTCACATAAACACGCCCCCTACTGTATGCCTGCTGGGTGAGAAGCATGGTCCTAGTGTCCGCCACACAGCACCCCCCAGAACACCCAGAAGGACATCACAATGAAAATTTCACAGGGGGTTTAATTAGCCTGCCACAACGACTACGCAGTCCGTCTCCTGGTGGCGCAGGCGAAACCAGTCGCGCAGGACACCCCGGTGAGACACGAGTAGGAGAATGACACTCAACATTGACACGCTGAAGTGAGGCTGCGGGTTTCGGAGGGCGACCACGGCGAGGGACCTGGGCCGGCAACAGCACATCGCCTGCAACCAAATGAGCCGGTTTGAGCCTATCCAAAGAAACACACTCCCTCCGCCCACCCATATCAAGCACAAAACTCTTATCACCGTGCTCGAGCACCCTAAATGGGCCGTCATACGGTGGCTGGAGGGGCGAGCGGTGGGCATCATGGCGCACAAAGACAAAACGGGCCGACATGAGCGCAGATGGTACGAACACTTTGGGAACACAATGGTGAACCGGTGTCGGAGACAGGGGTCCCTCCACTGAAAAGGGGAAAGAAGGCGCGCCGGAACTTCCTGGCAGGAACTCACCGGGAACACGAAGTGGTTGACCGAGCACTAACTCAGCAGGGGCGGCATTAAGCTCGTCTTTCGGAGCCGAACGTAACCCGAGCAAAACCCATGGAAGGCGGTCGATCCAGTTACCGTCCGAAAGCGCAGCCCGCAGCGCAGCTTTTAGTGACCGGTGAAAACGTTCGCACAACCCGTTAGCCTGTGGGTGGTAGGCCGTAGTGCGGTGTACCTGCACACCCAAGGACCCTGCCATGGCTGACCAGAGCTCCGACACAAACTGGGGGCCCCTGTCCGAGGTGATATCAGATGGCGTGCCGAAACGCGCGACCCAGGACGACAGAAAGGCAGGAGCTATATCTGCCGAGGTCGTGGAGGACAGGGGAACTGCTTCCGGCCACCTAGTGGTCCGATCTACCATCGTGATTAGATGTGTGAAACCCTGCGACGGAGGGAGGGGGCCTACCAGGTCCACGTGGACGTGGTCAAACCGCCTGGCCGGAATTGGAAAAGGTTCAAGGTTCGCCCTGGTGTGCGGGTGGACTTTGGCGCGCTGACACGCCACGCATGCAGCCGCCCACCTCCTGACGTCCTTGCGTAATCCAGGCCAGACAAACTTGGCCCCAACCAGCTTGACAGACGCACGAACGCCAGGGTGCGAGAGGGAATGGATCGAATCAAAGATTCGGCGACGCCAATCCAACGGGACAGCAGGGCGAGGGCGACCCGTAGACCCATCGCAAAGGAGAGCGGGACCACCCACACGCATTATAACCTCCTCAAGTTTAAGAGCCGTACCGGCTGCCCTGAGGTTGCGGATGTCAGGATCCTTGGATTGGTCGGCGGCCATTTCCGAAAAATCAACCCCGAGATGGACCGGATATATGATTGCGTGCGACAAACAATCAGCCACAGGGTTACACTTACCGGCCACATGCTGAATGTCAGTTGTGAACTCAGAAATGGCCGCTAAGTGCCGCTGCTGCCGAGCCGACCATGGTTCCGTAAACTTTGACATTGCGAATGTAAGTGGCTTGTGATCCACAAAAGCAGTGAAAGGGCGTCCTTCAAGAAGGAAACGAAAATGGCACGTCGCAAGATAGAGTGCCAGCAGCTCTCTGTCAAAAACGCTATACTTGCATTCGTTATCCCGCAGCTTACGACTGAAAAACGCAAGGGGCTGCCATACGGTCTCCACCAGCTGCTGGGTGAGAAGCCTGGTCCTAGTGTCCGCCACAGTATCAATACTCACGCTAAATTAACGATATTTGCAATTACTGTATTATATTTTCTTCAGTTTTATTTTTTTGTACATTTTTCTGTATGTGAACGACATTTTCCTTCCTCCTTTTTACACACACGTAAGCAACGGCGTCTGCTCCTTCTTCCTGTATTTATATTGAGAGGCGAACCGCAGAAAGGGCAAGTTGAAGCAAACATTTCAAACTACAAAACAAATTTTAAAAATAAATAATTAAAAACTCGCTGCCGAAACACACATGTAATTCAAAAACACTAAAGAGCCAGACCACTAGAGGGCACTATAGTACCAATCACATGAGACCAGATTTTCTCAATAGTATCCAGCTGCAGACTCTGTCGTGTTGTCGAATGAGGCACACGTGAGTCCAGCTGTCGTGTTAACGTGGATACCTTTAATTTAGCTTTCGCGATGCGTGTATGCCTCTCTCCAGTCACACTCTCGTCTGCCGCTCTCGACCCACCTTCATGACGTAGTCGCCCCGCGACTCTATAGTCACGTTGTACACGATTACACCACAGACTCGGAGGAGGTAGCTTCAGGCAATGGTAGACTGGGTAGACTACCAATGATTCAACAGACCTTGAGGATTATTCTGCCTCGTGGTTGAGAGGTCTGCTCCTATCTCAGCCTGTGTCAAAGGATCACATACACAAAAACAAATGTTACTCTTATTTTCAACAATTGGCTCCAAAACACAATAACTTGAACAGCCATCTTAACTGATCCTCCTCTACGCTCTGTAACTGGCTAAGCATTGTATAGTGAACAAAATAACACGTACAAACACATCTCAGCATTCATCATCTTATTTTTTATTTATTTATTTATTTATTTTAACAACCTTATAAACAGAGCCACATCGACTATACCAGAACCATAGGAGGAAGAAGGGGAAAAAAGAGGGGTGGGGGGTTACAAGTCCAACCTGGTTGGTTTCACCACGACTCTCCCAAACCTGGTCTTGGCAGTTGGAGTAGCTGGCGCGTCTGGAAGATTCTGCTGTGGTGGTTCAGCTGATGGTCTTCCTGGAATGCCTCCCGAGAACTGTTCCGCTGCACCACGGTCACTCTGGTCAGTCGAGGACCTCATTGGGATGAGATGACGACGGTTTCGTCTGATGGTCCCATGGGGTCCCTCCACCAGATATGATCGCGGGGAAGCATGTCTTTC